TGTAGTCATAGACCTTGGTGATTGGGAAAGTATTTGCCTCTACTATTGGTGCTCTAGTGCATCAAAGTCTCATTGGTTAACCTACTCCTTAATGTTGATAGTTCTTTTACACTTCCTCCTTGCTCCTTGCTCTTGGTGATCTTCATGATTAGAATTGACCTTAGATCACTCAAGACCTTCTTAAGGGCTACTAAGGTTTTTGTTTTTAAGGGCAACGATGTGTCCATTGTTGAGATTTCTTGGCAATGCCTTTATTGCGTTTTCTTGGGAATTAAACATATTGCGGATCTCGTTTCCCAACTCTGTGAGTAACTCTTGGGGTAATTCTACCCTCAACGACTCAAATGTACCAATCTTAGGGTTATAATTGACGATTCTTCGGTTGTTGTGACCAAAATGCCAATGGGGTTGCCACTGCCACCTTGGACGATATCACCAATGTTGGTAGTGGTTGCTGTGGAGTTCAAGGCACTTTTGTTCCCAATTTACTTTCCTTTGGAAAAGTGTGTGGTCACCGTGTTTTTATTACAACTTTCTATTTGCTTCCCCACTGGCCATGTTAGTTGTTTTGCCAAAATTTGCACCAAAGATGAAATTACAGTCTTGCCTTTTGGACCACGTTGACTTTCTCACATTGCCCTCGAATTGGCTTCCTTCTTGTCATTAAGAATTACAGTGCTGCTCTTGCAAAACTAACAAGATTCCAACGAGATTGTAGGATTAGAGAAAGGTGAGAGGCTAATAAAGTTGCAGTCAAGTTTCTATTGGAATGCTCAAGTAAAGGGCTTTTCCATTATGAATTATCGTAATCATCCCATGTCATTAGCCTCATTTTATAGTGAAGTGGAGAGAGGTTTAAGAGAATATTTCCCTTGGTGGAGTAAGAAATCAAGTATGATGATGAGAGTGGGTATCTATATTCTATATATATCTATAATCCTAAAGCATGGGTTGTTTGATTGACACATAGGATTTTCAAAGCTCTAGAATTGCTCATTTTTGTCATCCAAAAGCTATATAATTGCTCTATCTTAATCTTTTGGATTTGTTCTTGACATGTGGTTGTATGTGATTGGTGATGATGTTGTGTTTGATATTTTTTAGTATAAATTAATAGCATATATTGGACATCCAAAGGTCTAATTAAAGCTTGATTAATTTCACACAAACACAGATGCTTCACATTCACATTCACATACAAACGCTTCAAATTGGCTAAAAGAGGAGTCGCCATTGTTTCTACCTTTGCTTCTCAATATCTAAACTGAATTAGAGTGTCATAAGTTTTCTCAATTTCTCTTTGCTTTTTTCTTATTTTTCTTGGTTTTTATTCATATTGAAAGCTAGGGTATCTTTGATGAATGAGTTGATCAAATTGAATTGGACGTGTAGTTATCGCAACGAGGATGGAGAGCCGGCAACATAAAATCAAGTTGGGAGCCATCTCTTGAGTATTTGTTTATTTGTGTTTTTTCGTGCATTTTTGGGGTTAATTTTTGGTACAAAATCATAGTCAAAGTACAATGGAAGGCAAGAGACTGAGCTGGAACTTGGCAATTTCTTTTCTTTTATTCTATTTTCGTTTGCATTTTGTTTATTAGTGTTTGGATGGCGACAAACTTGAGGAAAAATTTGACATTGTGTGTGTTGTGTTGTGGGGTTTTACTGATTTTTATTTTATTTTTTTTAAATTATTTGAAAAGATCAAACGGATTTGATTTGATAAATCTTTTATCTGTTGGAAGGTTATTCAAGGAAAGGAGCTGCTAAGCCCTCAAACTGACAAAATGGTTTTCAATTAGTGCTATACAACATCTATTTTAATGGACTGCTATTGTACCGAAATATGCATTTTAGAATAGCATGTGGAGGGTAGAAACTTAGGAATATAATGTTGGATGGTAATATTGATTTGTATGGATCATATGTAAGTTTTTGTCTCTCATTAATGCAAATATGTTTTCTTCATAGTTTTCATTGAAATTTACTAAATATAGTTTCATTTATGTGCTCATTTTTTTCGGGCTAGACCTTGCTGAATTGTGGGGGAGGAGGAACCTATTCCATAGGTTTTACCTTTGGTTTCCTATATCTATATTTCACACGTTTGGCTATTTCTAATTTTCATTAATATTGAATTGTATGGACCATAGGTAAGTTTATGTCTCTGATTTATGTAAATATGCTTTCTTCATAGTTTTCATTGAAATTTACATAATATATCTTCATTTATGTGCTCATTTTTTCAGGCTAGACCTTTGCTAAATTGTGGGGGAAGAGAATCTGTTCCGTAGGTTTTACCTTTGGTTTCCTATATCTATATTTCATATGTTTGGCCATTTCTAATTTTCATATGAATTTATATCTCATTTTTTTTAATATCTATATGATTTCTCAAGTTGTTCAACTAACTGTGACCATATGTTTTACAAGTCTATGAATGGTAATGCTGTAAACCTGACTGATAAAAGTGACCATGTTGTAAACTTGGTTGAAAAAAGTTAACATGCTAAAGTGAGGAGACTTTGAGGTTGTTTAACAAATATTATCTTCATTTGTTTCAGGTTGGTTTTACCATCTGATGCATTTGCACTAAAACATGAGTGAGTTGATCTAGCTTCAATCATAAACATCATAACAACACAATACAAGTTCGGTTCTCCACAAACAATATCAACCAACAATGACTCCAAAACTCCAATACAAGCTAATCTAACCGAACTTAACAAACCAAAGAGCAAGTAAATAACAAAGTGAAAGTAACAGCCAACCTCAAGGCTTAAAGGCAAAGCCACTCACCAAGAGATCCAAACGTAAAGGGTGAGCCATCGGTTTGGATTTTCCACCACCAAGTTTAGCCAAAGCTTGGATAAAGGATTGAAGAAAACTCTCTCAAGAGCTCGATTTCTCATTCATAAAAGCTAACCCATTACAAAGTATAGTTTGACTTTATATAGCCTTATAAAATAGTGCCCACAAAATAATAAAAACATAAAATATAAAAATTACACATAGAAAGGGTCAAATGTGGCGCCCTTAGGAAGAGAAAGCTAAACACAAAATACAAGGGCAAATGGGTTACATAAAAGTTGGACTAGGTCTTCCTTAAACTAAACAGAAGTGAAATGATGGATTCTTTGACTTTTGGAAAGTGGAAAGGGGACAAACAGCCGTCGGAATGTCATGGAGTGTTCTTTCCCGAAATGGATAGTCTTGAGTTGGCATTGTCATAGCTTGTCTCTTTGACTTTTTGATCCCATGTGCTTGCACCTTCCCCTATATTTAAACTTTCCCCCCATTTGACTCAATGGTTCCCATGAGATTAAATTGTAGCCAAATATTGGATTAGGGTTTAGGAATTGGGCTTGGCTTGCCTTGGGCCACATGGGCTCATCTTGTATGGCCATTTCGACTTGGGCCAAATGGTATTGCTCATCTTGCATGGCCTTTTTGACTTGGGCCGAATTGTCTTGAGATGCTATGATTGTTCTCTTGACTTGGGTCGAATTGCCTTGGACTAATTACCCCTTGGATTTGTCTTGATCTGTATGACGGTTAGTGGGCATATTTGCATCACAATCTCAACACTATATATAATTTTTTTTTTGGTTTGGTTTTGGTTTGATTTAACACTTATTATTTATGGCTTTAGTTGGAGCAAGCAAGATGTAGAAAAGAAGAAGTGGAAAGAAAGCTTCCAAAAGGTCAAAATTCAAGGTTAGCATGAATTTTAACTGTTTGTATTTGATATTTGTTTGAGTTTTTTTTTTAATTTTTAATTTTATTAAAGCTTGGTTACTTATAGTTGATTTATGAGTTGAAATGATAGTAGACTGAAAAATTATTATTGATTGAAATGGACAAAAATGTTTTTTGACGGTTTTACTTATTACTTAGGAATTCGGGTTGAGGAGGTTAACTACGCATTTGTTCTTCTATTATGACGGTTTTACTTATTATTTATAGGGATTCAGGCTGAGGAGGGTATCTACGAATTTGTTCTTATATTATCCCCTTGATGCTACTGTGTTTTTGTTTGAGTATTTTTATGATATATTTTCTTAAGTTCTTTGTTTAGGTTTCTTTGATTATAATGAAAACATTGGTGATGTCCTGGCATAATAAATGGTTTTTGTTATTGGCAAAGATGTCCATGTAGAATTTTGAGGTTGTTTAACAAACATTATCTTCATTTTGTTCAGGTTGGTTGGATAAGAAAGCTTCCAAAAAGTCAAAATTCAAGGTTAGCATGAACTTTAACTGTTTGTATTTGATATTGGTTTGAGTTTTTTTTCTTAATTTTTAATTTTATTAAATCTTGGTTCCTTACAGTTGATTTATGAGTTGAAATGATAATAGACTAAAAAATTATTATTGATTGAAGGGGAAAGGTGTGTACCCTTCTAAATTATCAAGAGTACCGGACAAGACATAAATCTTCTGCAGGTTTTACCTTTGGGTTCCTATATCTATATTTCACATGTTTGGCTATTTCTAATTTTCATATGAATTTATATTCTAATTTTTGAATATCTATATGATTTCTCAAGTTGTTTAAGTAACTGTTACCATATGGTTTACAAATCTGTGAATGGTAATGCTGCAAACCTGGCTGATAAAAGTGACCATGCTGTAAACTTGGTTGAAAAAAGTGACCATGCTAAAGTGAAACTTTGCTTCACTATTTGTATTTAGCTGGCATGAAATCATATAAGTTCTTCAAATACCCTATTCTTTCTTTGAAGTCTAAATTTTTTTTATTTATTAACCTGACCTCATGAATCATATAGGGTGGGTTGAAGTAGTTGGCTACATTAAGTGCAAAGAAGCAGCAAACTAGGAAGTGTTACCTGAAAGGGTGAGCTACCCACTTTCCTGATCATTTTGTTACCTGGTTTATCAGCTTCATGTCATCTTGCAATCTCCACGACTATGTTGACTAATTGATACCATTTTTCCATTGTAGGTGAGGCTAGAAGCACAAATAGGTTTTTGTTGGTTTTGTGAAAATCCTCAGGTTAGTACTTTCACCCTGCTGTAAGTTACCATTCAACAATTACTAAAAAATTTTGATGAAGAGTTTCTGATGCAAGTAAATGTAGAAATTGTTAGTTCCATTTGAGATGAGAGGATATCAAGGTGTTTATAACTTGGAAAAGAAGGTACATATGATTCAACAAGTTGGTACTTTCATTTTCTATTCGTGTCTGAATTGGGACTGACTTCTGCACCCATCACAGATATATGAAGCTGCAATTAGGGGTCTTACTCTAATTAAAAGTCCACTGCTAGTAAGATTTCCGCTTCCGGATCCACAAGATCTTTTTTCCTCGAAACCAGGTTCTATTTCTACATAAGTCCCTGAAAAGGAATCATCTATGGTCGAAAAATCATCAAATCTTATTGTGGCCATTGCTGGTGCAGGAGCACAGTTGTGTTGTTTTTGTGACTTTTCTTTATGGCTTATTATGCTTTTATTGTTTCGTTATTTTCTAAATTGATTGGTTGATTTGTCGCATGATTAGGCTTCAAATTTTTATTATTGTTGGGTTTGTTCTTCACTTCTTCTCCAGAATCTATGTTTACATTTCGTATCTTTCTTTCTTAGTTTAAATTGTTGGATGTTGACTGCCTAACTGGCTTCTTCTTTTTTTTTTTTTTTTTTTTCAGTAGGACCTTCTTTATTTTTTGCATTCTGGATTTTGTATGATCGGTGTTAATTTGGGGATAGGTAAACTGAAAAGAAAGAATTAGGAGAGAGTCATAAGAAGTGTGGAAAAATGAATTCTTATTCATAGAAGAGTTTGTTACATTGCTGTATATACACAAAAATAAACTTATAACTATCAACTAACAACTTTAACTAATTACAACTTAGCATAACAAATTCTTAACTAACTAAACTACCTCTTGTGTACCAACTTGATTCTTAACACTCCCCCTCAAGCTGGCATCTTATGAATATTTTTCAAGCATAGGTTGGACAAAAGTTTTTCATGTTGTAACCTTCCCAAGCCTTTTGTCATTACATCTGCTAATTGCTCTCTAGTAGGTATGTACTTTGTAACTATCAAGCCACTATGAATTTTCTCCCTTATGAAGTGGCAATCTATCTCTATGTGTTTTGTTCTTTCATGAAACATGGGGTTTGCTGCAATTTGCAAAGCTGATTTGTTATCACAGTAAAGTAACGCTAGAATTTTGGCTTCAACATCAAGCTCTTTAAGTAAACTAGTTAACCAAATCAACTCTGCAACAGTTCCAGCCATACTTCTATACTCTGCTTCTGCAGATGATCTTGCTATGGTATTTTGCTTATTGGATTTCCAAGACAAAAGGGAATCTCCCATCTTAATACAGTAACCTAATACTAACTTTCTAGTAACAGCACAAGAGGCCCAATCTGAATCACAGAATGCAACCAATTCTTTTGTACTTTTTGCAGACATAAGCAACCTAATAGCTGGTTCCTTATTCACATATCCTATAACTCTCAATGCTGCTTTGAGATGTGATTGTTTAGGAGTTTGCATATGTTGACTTAAAGTCTGGACAACAAACGAAATATCAGGCCTAGTCATTGTTAGATACAACAGCCTTTCCACCATTCTCCTAAACATGCTAGGATATGTCAGCAACTCATCCTTTTCATCTGGTGGAAACTTTTGATCAAACTCATATGAAGTCAGTTTTAAATTCTGCTCAAGAGGGGTGTCAGCAAGCTTCGTAGTAGATAATCCAACCTCCGAAATCAACTCAAGTGCATACTTTCTTTGGTTAAAAACAATCCCTTCAGAGGACCTAGCAACCTCAATTCCAAGAAAATATCTAAGATAACCAAGATCCTTGATTTTAAAATTATCTTGCAGATTAACCTTCAACTGATCTATCATTTTAATGCAACTTCCTTTTATCAAAATGTCATCAACATAGACAAGCATAATGACTGTGTTACTTCCTTCTCGTTTGGTGAATAATGAGTAATCATATTTACTCTACAAGTAGCCATTTTTTATCAAAGCTTTAGTAAGTTTGTGATTCCATTGTCTACTTGCTTGCTTCAATCCATACAAGGATTTGAGCAATCTTTAGACCATGTGATTCTCCCCCTGAGTGCCAAATCCTTGAGGTAAAGACATATAAACCTCTTCATGAAGATCTCCTTGCAAGAAAGCATTAAACACATCAAGTTGGAAGAGTGGCCAAGCATGAATCGAAGCTAATGTAAGAACTTATCTGACTGTGACCATTTTTGCCACCAGGGAAAAGGTCTCTGTGTAATCAATGCCAGCTTGTTGGTTGTAGCCTTTGGCCACAAGCCTGGCTTTGTATCTTTCTAAAGTCCCGTCAGAATTATATTTGACTTTGTAGACCCATTTGCAGCCAATAGGCTGTTTGCCTGTTGGGAGAGGAACAAGCTGCCAAGTCTTGTTAGCTTCTAATGCATTGATCTTTGTTTGCATAGCATTAATCTAGTTAAGATCCTGAGAAGCTTCAGCAAAGGAAGCAGGTTCTTTGATTCGAGAGATGGAAGATAAGAAACACTTGTAATAAGGAGAGGGATGATCATAGAGAATAGCATCTGAAATAGAGTAATGAGTTGAAGGTGTAACATAATCCTGCAACCAAATTGGAGGTTTGTGTGATCTAGTAGACCTTTTGATATTTGAAGGAGCAGGCACTAGAGTTAGGGATGATGTTGATGTAGGGTCAATTAAAGGAGCATCAGGATCATGATCAGCAAAAGGATCATGATTGAAATGTGAATCTGGTGATGGTGGAGCATAAGTTTCAAGATTGATAGAAGCAGAATGTAAGTCATCAGAAAATGTGGTAGTGAAAGGATCATTTGGAAATAATGGAACATGAGAATGTTGCTAGAACTAAAAGGGAAATTTGTGCTCAATAAATCTAACATCTCGATTGACAAAGAAGCTGAAATCTTGTAGGTTTAGTAACTTGTAACCCTTTTGTGTTGAAGAATATCCCATAAAAACTGATGGCATAGCCTTGAATCCAAATTTATCTCTGGAGCTCACATTAGAAGCATATACTAAACACCCAAACACCTTGAAGTGATCAATAGAAGGAGGAGAACCAAATAGAATTTCATAAGGTGAACTGCCCTGGAGCACATCAGTAGGAAGTCTATTTAGGATATAGCAGGCTGTGAGTATGCATTCTCCCCAATATCTAATTGGAATGGAGACCTGAAATCTCAAGGCTCTAGCAATGCTAAACAAATGCCTATGCTTCCTTTCTAATGCCTATGCTTCCTTTCCACTACCCCATTCTGTTGGGGAGTGTAGACACAAGTATTTTGGTGAATAATCCCAAGTGAAATGAAGAGTGCAGTGCATTGAGAGTTGAGAAACTCTAAGCCATTATCTGTTCGAATATACTTAACACAAGCTGAAAACCGATTCTTAGTAAGAGTAAGAAGCTCTTAAGATGAACTATAACTTCATGCTTATGTGTCATGAGAAAAACCCAAGAAATCCGGGAGTGATCATCACCTATTGTAAGAAAGAATTTATTATGATTATGTGTAGGAGTATGATAGGGTCCCCATACATCCATATGTAGCAGATGAAAACATGCAGGAGCTCTTATGGTACTAATAGGAAAAGGCTTTCTTACATGTTTGGCAAGATGACAAATATCACAATGAGAATCAACATCATCATAACTAAAGGTTTTTATTCCAGAAAAGTATTTTAGTTTTGCATATGGCACATGGCCAAGTTTATGCCAAAGCTGGCTTACAGAAACTGAACAAGAAACAGGTAAAGTTTTATTCAAAGCATAAGTACTAGCCATTGATGCATAAGAAGGCATGAAGAAGTAGAGACCCTCTGATTCTTTACCAATCCCCAGTATTTTGCCAATGGAGAGGCCCTGAAATATGCAGAAATCAGGATAGAAACTGACAAAGCAAGATAAGTCTTTGGTGAGCTTTGATATAGAGATCAAATTAAACTTGAAATCTGGAACAAATAACACATTAGTCAGTTTCTGATCTAGACCAATGTTACAAGATCCAACATGTGTTACAATTGAATGATGTCCATTAGGTAGTCTAATTGTAGAAGGAGAAACTGTCCCAACCAATTTGTTTAGAGTGTTTAAAGAAGCTGTCATATGGTGACCAGCACCTGTGTCTAATATCCAACAGACTCCATGATTTAAGGATGAAAAATAAGAGTGAATACCTGCCATATTGACATGTGCATCATTTGAAGGTAATGAAGGTTCCTTTTGAAGCAATTTCAATATCTCTGCGTACTGCTCTTTAGAGAAGATTGGAGCTGCTTGAGTACTATTTGGAGTGACTGCAGAACTACTGTGATCAGATGACTTAGTAGTGGTAACATTATTTGCTGAAGACTGAGTAAAATTCTTTCTTCTGGTGAATTTAAAATCAGCAAGGTAGCCAATGAGCCTGTAACAATTATCCTTTTTGTGTCCCTTCACATGACAATGTTCACAAGTTATATTCCAATTCTTCTTAGATTTAGCTGATTGCTGGTTTGATGATGAATAAAGTACTGTTGGCTCAGATGAGGATTCAATAGTAGCAGCAGTGGTTGAATTCCTCTGGCTTTCTTCAATAGTGAGCACAGAATAGGCTTGGTTTATTGATGGTAAGGGTTGCATCATGAGAATTTGGCTTCTAGCATGCAAGTAAGATTCATTTAAACCCATCAAAAATTGGAGCAACTTTTGATTCTGCATGTGATCTACAGAAACCTTTGACATAGAACACTCACATGAAGGGAGTTGGACAATATACGAATATTCATCCCATAACAATTTCAGTTTAGAGAAATAAGTGGAAATAGATGAAGTTCCTTGCACTAAGGTGACAATTTCTCTATGCAACTTGAAAACTCTAGATCCATTCACTTTATCAGATCTTTCTTTTAAGTATTTCCATACTAAATGTGCACTTGAAGCATAAACAATGCCACTTAGAAGCTCTTTTGTAACTGAATTCGTGATCCAGGAGAGAACTATAGCATTACACCTATCCCACTGATTGTGCAAGCTAGCTGGAAAACTATCCTTTGTGCAAGTTCCATCAATAAATCCAATTTTATTTTTAGCTAATAGTGTTATTCTCATAGATCTACTCCATAACGAGTAATTATCCACACCAATCAATTGAAAAGAAACAATAACAGCACCTGGAGTGTCAGAAGGATGCAGGTAAAGTTGATGACTAAAGTCGATTGATGAACTTGATTGATCATTTGTATTATTCAAAGAAGACTGCATTTCTCC